CTTTCATCCGAGACTGCATCCGTACGCTCGTTCCAGGCCAAGGCAATGCAAGTATCGTACATTTAACTAAACGAAACAGAGGTTTAGTATAAGCTGTAGACCCCGTTCTAAAATGGCGCTGATGGTTTCACTCAGGTGGTTAACTGACTCTTTTAATAGCTTCATTCTCTGTTTTTTCCTGATGGTTTCATCCATCATGCCTCATTTGCCCTTTCCCATGTATGAGTGATTGTTTGTTTGTTACACTGGTTTGTGTTGGCGTTTAGTTAATAAAACTCTTGTGCACAAATTACATGAGTTTCTGATTCTGCCTTGCAAATTAATGTCCCTTTACGATTTTGATCCTCGCTACATGCTCTAATGCATTAATACTGTATGAAAGTATTTTCTGTGGCCACGAAAATATCCTTTCCTAGAGTTGATATGAACTTACACTGAATGTTCGCTGGACGAACAGATTAGTTGAGGGCAATTTAATTCTGCTACAGTTACTACTGGCAGCTGATATAAATAATTGTAATTAATCCTAATTGTAATTATTTATATACATTTCCCTTTTGAGCTAATTTGCAACAGCAGTGAGATACAGCTACCATATCTATGGTGTCTGGGTCAACCCAGGTAGATCATAATCATCATAATACCACATTGTCCAATATTTTTTTTTTTTAGAAATTTTGCATCAGATTGTAAAGTCCACACCATCACGTCTCAGTAACCTCTGATGGCACCAAAAGTAAAAGACATAAAAAAAAAATCTCAACTGACAACTTAATTGAATTATGGTGAATTTGAACAACATTGCCAAAGTATCTTTCATTAACAAGCAATATACCTGAATCTAATGAGGCTCTTTCTGGGTTAGAACGGCTGGGAGATGATGGCTCTGTCTCCACCTGGATTAGCTCCGTCTCTTCAGTCTTCTTCTTGCGAAGGCTACTCTTAGAGAAACCATTCTTACGAGATCCATGGGGACTCCATCTGTCCCAACTCCACCTTCTCTCACAAGGTTCACGCAAGTCCACCAAGTCTAGTGCTGTAGACAAGACTAGAGAATATGGAACAAAACATTGCCAACAAGAGTCATCCAGAATGAAAACCTGTATTCTCTTATTTTATTAACCATGACACATATTTATGGGTGAAAAATTCCAATCATGAATAGTGAAAAACTGATACCTAAAAAAAATATTTTGAAATGAGTTTAAAGGATTAATTGGGACAAAGAGTAGGCCTAAATACCAAGGAACACCAATTGAAACCTACTTTATGTAAGCAAGGGATAAAAAAAAACATTTTGTGCCTAACAGCTATGGGATAGAGGAGGAGAAGAGCAGATGAGTGAGAAGGAGAGGAGGAACAGATGACAGAGCAGTAATTATGGGGGAACCTGCTGTGTTGGAGGTGACTGGCCGTGTGGCTCCATCACTCTTGCTCTCACTCTGGAAGTCATCAATAGAAGGGCTGAGTAACGGACGGCTCTCTTGCTGCTCACTACACAACTGCAACACATAAACCAAACAATTTTCACTTAGCATGCAACCATTTCCACAAAATGTTGATCTTATTTGTAACATTTATGTAGACTTTTATTTTGTTTCCCATTTAATGTTTTTTTTTGGTCAAGTCAGTCTTTTATTTTAAGTTCTTGTTTCTAGTTCTTGTCATACCCCTTTTCCTTAATATCTCAGCCTCTTTGTTGTTTAGCCACACTGTTAAAATACTTTTTCTCTGTTTAATAGGCAGAAACTACTTTTAAGTAGATCACTTGTAGGTTGATTTGCCCCAAAAGTGAAAATGCTGTGACGCTATCAGTGGTCAAGGCGGTCAAGGTTTGGCATGTTAGCATGGACCAGCTAGCCCCTGTTGGTAGATGCCAATGCTGTGCAAGATACTATCCCCCTGCAAAGACCTCACTTGGACCCCAAAGCAATTCTAGTGGCCAGAGTTTTTCATTGGTAGTCTATTTGTGCCTCATTGGAAATGAGAGAAAATCACCACATATTTTTCTTAGTCATGAAAATATTTAATCAATGTAATTACATATTGCAAATCACAGTCAGGGCTGTCACTAAAATTCACAACTTTTCCAGGTTGTCCCCCTCTCCCCTGGGCTCAATGAGTAAGATTTGTCATAGAGGACCTCAATGGACCCCAGTCATCACAGGACACGGAACAGTGCTCCTGGTTGTCCACTTAACAACGGCAGTGGTCACAGTATACTACAAACGTTAAAAATGGTCAAATTAAACGGTTCACATTCTTTGATTTTTCAGTTTATGGTGCAGTCACATTATCAAAAATTTTTTTGCAAAATTCCACAGGCTAAAAGCTTTACTGTCAATAGTGTCACGGTACCGGAAGAGAGAGATGAGGCGAGGACTCAAATGCAGGAGAAAAATGGGTCTTTTTAATAATAAAATTTAACAAAACGAACAAAAACTACCCCGAGGGGGAAAAACAGGCAGGCAGGCCAGTAACAAGGCAGAGCAGTGCAGCAGTTACATACCACACATACAACAAGTACTTCTGACATATAACAATAGAGCAGCACAGGACTGCAAACACCTGGAGAATAAATAGGGAGATAAACGAGGAGGGTAACGAGGGAGACACAGGTGGAGCAACTGAAACAATAATGAGGTGACAAGATGAGAGGGGACAGACAATAAGACAGGAGAGAGCACATGGCACCAAACAAACACAACACAAGCCATGTGCTCACACAAAACCACAGGAGTGCCCTCTGGTGGCCGTCTTGGGCACTCCAGCTGCAGACTGTGACATAACCCCTCCCTTAAGGAGTGGATTCCAGACGGTTCACCAAATGTCAAAGGAATCCAGGAGGGAGGCGGAATGGAGGTGGACTAGGGGGAGGGATGGTGGGCCAGGCCCGTGTAGGGGAAGAGGACCTGTATCCTGAGGTAGATCATGGAACCAGGGTGGAGTGTAAGCCCACCAGGGTGGAGCAGGTGAAGCTGAAGCCCACCAGAGTGGAGCAGGCGGAGCTGAAGCCCACCAGGGCAGAGTAGGCGGAGAAGAGAACCACCACTTGAGAGGAGCTGAAGTAAATGCCGCCACCTCGGAAGGTTCTGCAGCAGAAGTCGCCACCTCGGGAGGAATTTGAGCAGACCCTGAAGTCTCCTGGCATGGAGCGGGCTCTGGAGTGGATTCTGAAGGCTCCCGGACTGGAGCTGACCCTTGAGTGTTCTCTGAAGGCTCCCGGACAGGAGCGAGTTCATGAGTGGACTCTAAAGGCTCCTGGATTGGAGCGGATTCATGAGTGGACTCTGAAGACTCCCTGACTGGAGCTGGCTCTTGAGTGGTCTCTGAAGGCTCCCGGACAGGAGCGAGTTCATGAGTGGACTCTGAAGGCTCCCGGACTGGAGTGGGCTCTTGAGTGGACTCTGAAGGCTCCCGGACTGAAGCGGGTTCATAACTGGACACTGAATGCTCCTGGACTGGAGCAGACTCTGAAGTGGACTCTGAAGGCTCCCGGACTGGAGTGGGCTCCTGAGTGGACTCTGAGGCAGGTTCCTGGGAAGCTGGAGTGAACTTTGAAGCGGCCCATGCACACAGAACAGCCCTGAGGTGAAAAGCGAAGATGGCCTTCTTGACTAAGGCAGCAGCAGAGAAATTGGGTGGCTCTGTAGTGGTCTCTGTGGTCGAGACAAGGAGAGCAGGTTGCTCAGTAATGGCCTCTATGCCAACAGCAGTGAGAGCGAGCGGCTATGAGGCGGCCTCCATGGCCGAAACAAGGAGAGCGGGCTGCTCAATAATGGCTCTCGTGGCAGTAGCAGTGAGAGTGGGTTGTTCTGTGGCAGGCTGTTCTGGAGAGGGTGGCTTAGGGGCCTCTGGGACCATCAGACTTGGGACCACCAGAGTCGGGTCCTCCAGGACCACCAGACTTGGGACCACCAGAGTCAGGTCCTCCAGGATCATTAGACTTGGGACCACCAGAGTCGGGTCATCCAGGACCATCAGACTTGGGACCACCAGAGTCGGGTCCTCTAGGACCACCAGACTTGGGTTCTCCAGGACCATCGAACCTGTTAACAGCATAGAGATGCCAGCAGCTCGCACAGACCTCAGCGGTAAGTCTGCCAAACTGAAAGCCAGCCTTAAAAGCCCTGGGCCCACCCGGTGAAGAGTTTCCGGACTGGCTGCTCTCCTGTGAAGAGGCTCTGAACTGGCGGCCATCTTGTGACGGGACTCTGAACAGGCGGCCATGTCAGGAAAAAGCCCCTCCTGTTCAGGAACTGACTGTCTCCCATTGTGGGCTAGAAAGTCCACAAACGCCCCAAAAGACAGGTGCTCAGTGCCGTACCTCCTCCAGGTGCTGATGGGCTCATCAAGGGCATAAGAAATCAAATCCTTGAGAGCCGCATCATTATACTCCAGCCCCTCCGCAGCAGTCCTGAATTCCAAGGCGAATTCCCTCAGGTCAGTCCCCCGTTGCTGGAGGGAACTCAATGCTGATAATTGGAGCATACGTTGATAGAGGGGGCTGCTGGTAGTGGAGGCTGGCAGTGGGAGGTTGACCATTCTCCGCTGAGTCCTCATTAGGCTGATCCGTTCTGTCACGGTACCGGAAGAGAGATGAGGCGAGGACTCAAATGCAGGAGAAGAATGGGTATTTTAATAATAAAATGAAACAAAACAAACAAAAACTACCCCGAGGGGGAAAAACAGGCAGGCAGGCAGGCAGGCAGGCAGGCCAGGAACAAGGCAAAGCAAAGCAGAGCAGCAGGTACATACCACACATACAAGTACTTCTGACATATAACAACAGATCAGCACAGGACTGCAGACACCTGGAGAATAAATAGGGAGATAAATGAGGAGGGTAACGAGGGAGACACAGGTGGAGCAACTGAAACAATAATGAGGTGACAAGATAGGAGGGGACAGACAATAAGACAGGAGAGAGAACATGGCACCAAACAAACACAACACAAGCCATGCGCTCACACAAAACCACAGGAGTGCCCTCTGGTGGCCATCTTGGGCACTCCAGCTGCAGACTGTGACAAATAGTGCCCACACTATAATTTCACACATAAGTCACTTACAAATCAAGATTTCTGTTCATGGTCAAAAGTGGCAAATTTGCATGACCTACTTGATCCCTGAAATCTGTGGGAAAAACTTTCGTCCTCACATGGAACAATAATAAATGTGACTGCACCTTTAGTTTGGTTCACAAGCTAACAGCTTAGCCTGGTGCCTTAGAAAATGCTAACTGGTAAAGAAAACCAGTTATGAAAGTAAAAGACTCATAAATTAGATGTAGCACTTAGCTTTAGTTTCTCCAACACCTTCATGTTTCCAATCCAATGATTGCTGCAACCAGTAATCTCCTTAAATGTTAGTGTTACATCATCATATTACATACTCATTCCAGTGAGAACATGAAATAATTAGAACTGAGATTATTATTCTTTACAGTAAATCATCCAATCTCACAACACAGAGGGTGTCTTATTACCTGTGGATAGTAGTAGTAATGATTGAAATCTATGATTCAGACCAAAAAATCAGATACTTACTATCGAGCATATTGCATCTTTTAATTGATGCAATGCTGTAACTCAGTGACATTTCTAAATAGCCTAAATTTTCATAAATATATTGATTTGTTTACAAGAATAAAATAGACCATTACATGTAAAAATAAAATATACATATGTGTATACAGTACACAAATCAATGAATCAAAATCCTGTTTAACTAAATGTGCAGATATTTATGGTCTTACTTTTCAAAACATGCCAGTTTATGCAAATTTGGCTTATTATACACTTGCCTTATCAGAAAACGCAATGCTATTTGTCTGGCATATTAACATTGTGCTATGACTGCCCACAGAAAAAAATCAGTAAATGTAATTTTATTTAATAGGGTTTTTTTTGTTCATGTTACATTCATAATAGCAGTCGAGTATACTTTCTGCATTTTAAAGAATGATAAAGTAAAGTATGCCAGACTTCAATAGTCTGCTGCATCCAACAAAACCAAGCATTAAAATGGCAGTTTGCACTGTTACCTGATTTTCAAAATTCTTTAAGTGAAAACAGCATTGTGCTAATAGTGAGTACAGTCCATTTTTAGTTAAGTCCCCCCTATGAATCCTAAATCTAAATTTCATATTTTTATTTTCAACTGTTTCATACCTGTGTATGAAGTAACTTCCTCATTGATTTATAATTATTTAGGTCATTGATTTGCTCAAAATTTTGTCTTTTGTGTATCCTAATTTAGGCTAAATTGTACAAGAATTCACCAATTACTTTCAATTTCACTTGGTCTTTTGTTAGGGATGAGATAGCAAGTGTTTTTCAGCCCATTTCACAATACACGCTCTTAGCAGTAACTGGCAGTAAATTCCCCATTGAGCAGCTCATCACTATGTATTGAGAAATGCATGGCTCTCTGCCACATGCCCAGTGGAATAGAACCAAGCCCTCCAAATCACAAAATCCTCCAACATTTGGGTAAACCTTTTATAGACAGCCAAAAATGACATCCATTTATTAACTTCATATAACTGAAGAATGGTAGTACAATAAATAAATAACATAGGCCTCCCCACATTGCAGCAAGACTCTACATCCACATTTCATTTGCTTCCTGCAAATGAACGATTCCCTAAGTGTGAGCAAACAGCAAATAACATGAACATGCAGCTCTGGATTTGGTATAAAACAGTAAACGTACATGCGATTCAAAGCCAAAACAAGAAACAGAAATAAAATTTAAGCAACAGAACATTCTGCAGCTGCTTATGAGGAGAGTAGCACTCACGTAAAGCAAATGCCACTCTTGTTTGTGTCGTGAAACACTGACGGTCTCAAAGGACCACCCCATTTTCATGGGTCTTTATGACATCATCTAGTGTGAACCCCATAAAGCAGCTTGCTTTCAACAACAAGAAGCAACTTCAGCACTTCCACACATATGGCTCATGTGTGTCACGTAACACTAACGGATATTCAGAACAGGGTGCACCAAGCTCTTGGTGTTACTTAACTTATTCACACAGTCACACTCACGCTTGGTGCTCCCTGTTGGTGGGTGTATGTGCTCAGCCCACCTTGGTTGTCACGGTGAGCAGGGGATTTCCATCTGAGGATGCCTTACTTGGTAGCTCCTTCAGCACCATAGCAACCGCCCTAGAGTCTTTCTCCTACAACAGTGAAATCAACAGTGAGTTGTGTCAGTTTGTGTTCAAATTCCTGCAATTCTGCGGGTTCCTTGAGAAACACTATTAAAACATTACCAATTCAAATGAAATTCTGATAATTTACAGGTTTACAAGAAAAAAAAAACCCTCTTGCTTTTTAAGCCATATTTTGTTGGCTGAAAAAAGTTACATTTACCCAACTGACACAAAGCAATGTGCATAATTAGCATGCTATCATCTATTCTACAGCCCAAAATAAATAATTAGGGATGCACTATATATCAGTATGATATTGTTTATTGGCCGGTATTTTTTGGCAAATAAGTTTTTATTATTTATTTTTATCAGACAATCGGTTAATTTAAGTGTGAATGGTTTAATAACTTTAAAATTAAATATCACTGTTAAAAGTAAACTTTATGTTAAAAAGTATCAAGCGATGCCTAAATTCCTGTGTAGCATCTACAATAACTGATTTTAGCTTTCAGCATTTTATTTTTTAATTTATTTAATTAGTATATACTAATTAGTATATAATTTAATACTGGCTATTTATCAGCCATAACATCAAAATAATTATCCACTTATCAGTAATATTAGTGCATCCCTATAAATAAGTTCTATTTGATATGAAGAACAGTTATCATTGCCAAAACTTTGCCACAACATAAAGCTACTTATCCTCAACAAAGACATGCTACAGTACATAAGAGTAGTAAACCATTGCGCTATTCAGGGATACACTGACTAGACCCCAGCCAAAAACATGGGGCTAACAACTGTGCTTTTAACAGTCCCTACGCCACTCAGACAGATCTAAGCACTTAAGCCACCACTGGGACACTGAGAGCTGGAGTGGAAGCAATTCACTGGCAATGTTTAACACTGCAGAATGTCATTTAAACCCCAATGTATTTGCTGAGTTGAACAACTACACATTTGTTCCCATATTGCAATCCAAGATAATCTAACTGTGCTGTTTTATAGTGACCAATGAAGTGAACCTCTAATGCAACACTCCAGGGTCCAGCAACAAAAAGCATCAAAAAGAAATGTTTTTAAACTCTGGGGACTTCTAAGAAACAAAAGATCTTTCAAAAAAGATGCTATCAATAAGTTTGTGTTTTAAACGTATTTAACCTTATTACAAATGCGTATGATTGTTGGGTGTTGAGGGTGATTACAAAGTTGTTGCTATGTGCTTGCTAGGGGTGCTCATGAGTAGATGATAGGTTGTGCAAGGTGGTTTCTAAGTGAATGCTTACAGGCCAAAGCTGAAAAAGCCCACCTCATGTCTCTGTTATATTCTCAGGCCAGCTGAACCAGCTGTGCATATGTTAAAACTTAGCCTAGTTGTGTCTTAAATGGGCCATAATTGAAATATTTGAGTGCACTATTAAACATCACTCCATGTAAACCAAAAAAGCCAGGGTAGGGCTGGGCAAAAAATCAAATACGATTTTCATGCGAATCTTGTCAGTAAAGCCGCTTCTGGTGATTAGTAGTAAATCTCCAGCACGTGCTTTCAGATGGAGCGGCATTTACTACACAGAGCCGTAGTTCACTGACAAGCTACACAAAATCGCGTTCAAAATCGCAGGCGATTCATTGCCGATTTTGAACGTGACTAATCACCAGAAGCGGCTTTACTGACGAGATACGCATGAAAATCGCATTCGATTTTTTGCACAGCCCTAAGCCAGGGGTATTAATTTTGTGTTCCTTGATATGCTTTTTTAATTCTCAAAAACAGGCAGCAACTGACTTGCATTTTATAAATCACCAAGTACCATGGTTTCAGCTAAAAATCTTCTTTACTGTTCTACTGAAGAAAAAATGTCATCTACATCTTGGATGGCCCGACGTTAAGTAAATTGGCAGCAAATTTTCATTTTTAGGTGAACTAACCCTTTAAGAGAGAGAACAGGAATGTTTATATCTTCTTTCTCAGTTTGCTTTTGGCGTTAAAGACATCCCAAATTTTGTGAACACATGAATGACATGGTCCTTTTCTTGAGTAATATCTAATATAACCCAAATATGTAGCTTTGTTTTGTAGGTAACTGGTCTTCACTCACATTATTCATTATAAGAGGTCAGGCATTTGTTCAGCAGAATATTATTGTTTCAAAGTGAGCTAAGGACTAAAGGAGATAACACAAACCATATAGTAAAAGACAGCCTTTATTTAGGGGGAAATGTCAGGTATTTATGTCCACTGTGCTGGCTTTTCTCTCTGTGAGGTTTCTGTCGAGTCTGTCTGTGATCATCCATCTATCTCTTTATTAACGTACTGTTCCCAAAAACCCATTTCACGTCATTTCAATCTTGACAACTACTCCATCAAGCTCATAACTGACCTTTAGAACATACTAAGAGGGTTTTGCAACAGAGCATATGTGGGACACACCATCCCATTCAATTTAAACATGGGAAAAAATGGGCAGAAATCTAAACTTCAGAAACAATGAATCTTTGATTTTCTAATATTGTCTAAAACCCTAAAACATTTAAAACATAAATGATTTATTTCTAAACCATGAGTAACAACACAAGATTATGTAAGGCTTTTGGGGTCACCCACTGATTCAGACATTGATGTGATTGGTTGGTATTGAATGATTTATCATTGTTTGTACTACTGACCCTACAGGGTCCTAAAAAGATTATAGAGCCACTACAGTTTATGAATTACAATAAAGTCCGGAAGAGTGACATGACCTGTTCCCAGAATTGTTTGGGGAAGTAGTGCGCTTATTACAAGCTCTTGGTGCATAAAGAAGATCTAAAAAGTTGCAAAGACTAAAGTCTCAAATCCAAAAAGATAGTCTTTATAAAAGTTAAGAGTCAACCACGCCTACCTAAAATGGCTCGTTCTAAGTTAACACGCCCCCACATACCTACGTCACTATGTGGGAAGATTTGCATAACGCCGCCCAAATGTTCACGCTGGTTTTGTCTCGTCGCGCCGGGACACTGCATCACAGTATGGTAAGTGACGTAACATTTCCGTCACACGTTTGAGGTATTTGGCCAATCACAACGCACTGGATAGCTGGCCAATCAGAGCACACCTCACTTTTCAGACCGATGAGCTGTGTAAAAATCGACGCGTTTCAGAAAGGCGGGGCATAGAGGAGAAACAATAATGTACATAATGTGGAAAATAATGTGTTTTTTAACCTTAAACCGCATAAACACATTGCATTACACCAATTACACAAAATAATGTTCTTTTTAGCAACGTCATATGACCCCTTTAAAAAATCTATACTTAAATCTTAAAACATTTATTGTTTTTATACTCAAACAAACGCTCTGTTTTCAAGCACAGATTATCATTTTATTGGTTGCACTTTATTTTACAGTCCTGTTACTCATGTACATACTATGTACTTATTATAGTAGGTACTAACCCTGAACCTACTCCTAAACCTAACCCTATCCCATGTAGTTTATTTCTTAAAATAATTGTTACAGATGTACAACTTTCAGGCTCATCTGATCAAAAGATAAACCATGAGCTCTTATTTGTTGTTAATTTTGTTGATATATCAGCAAAGATTTTGCTTCAGTTATAATAAAGTCTACAATAAATGAATTAATACATTCTAATCAATCACTGCCACTTTATTTCAGAGACAATACACTAAACATTTGATTTGTGCAGTTAACATTTTTAAATGGTCAAACAACCTAACATTTAACACCACAAGCACAGGTGGAGTGCCTTCAGATGGATACAGCAGATGCAACTATTTCAATTCTTTTAGAGCTCCTTGGATTCAACCCACTTTGTTTTCCTCATCCTTTTGAAATAAAAAGATATTAGTTCATAATTTGTTTGTTAATTTCATCACGTAGGATAGACTATCTGACAGTTGCTATAGGACAGCTTCTGATCAAAACAGATTAAAAAGACTTATGAATTGATGACAACATTGTTTTTTTATATTTGTGTATTTTATTACTTTGGTTAGTCTACAGTGCTGCTGTCGGATAACAGGTCGGACATCATGAGAAAACATTTTTATAGTTATGTCGAGAAAAAATTCAGTTGTGATAACAAGGAAGTAACTTTTGTTATGTCGAAATCATGAGAACAAATCTTATGTTGTGATCATGAGAAAACAAGAAAGAAAAATAATAATAATCCATGGCCTCTTAGGGCTTCTGTATTCAACTGAAATGACATTAAAGAATATTTTCGTTTACTAATGCAAGGATATATCCTGTGTGCACAGGACAATTTTATGTATAAAAAAGTTAAACAATTGTGACTATAGAAAAGAATGTGCAGTGTCTCCTTTGTGAGGTAATAAATTCAGTTCTCACACATGGTGATGGACTCAGGTTGTGTTGACTGGGTGAAAGATGATCACACCAAAGAAAGGATCTGCAAGCAGAGGAATTGTAGGAAATGCTAACACAAGCTGTAAATGACTGTAATTTCAGCACATCATATCTATAGCACAGATAACTGAAACATCTAGCTTCTGTTATGTCTAAGACTTTAAATTGGACATAAACAGATTTTGGTATCTAATCAGCTTATCTAACTAGCCTATTTATACATCATATATCTGCATATCTAATTATCCATTTTGCTATATGCCTGCTCAAATTAGCTAAAGCTAAAGCCTCGAAGGATTGGACAACCTGCTAATAACAGAGCTCAGCTACTCCTCTAATTATGTTAAAAGACAACTTTTAAAAGAAAGCTACAGAGTGAGTTAAAGTTCAAACGTAGGGTTTGAAATTAGCGCTCACCAAATGTCTGTGAAAGGCTGTTCACTGGTGGAGCCTGTCGTCCAGCTCCCCCTCGCTGGACATAATAGTGGAGCTAGATGGTCCAACCACACCCTAACCCTATCGCAAAATATCTCCCCACCCATTAGGTCCATAGGGATGGAGCTGAACTAGGTTAAACTCCACCAATTATGTCCAGAGAGGGGGATAGTACGGTGGCCGAGAAGTGCAAAGCAGATCACAATTCTGAAAAC